GGCATCTGAGATGAAGACACACTTCTCAGACAAGGAGATACAAATGGCAAACAAATATATGAGAAAATGTTTAACATTATTATTCATCCAAGAAATGCAAATTAGAACAACATAGAGATTTCATCTCACCCCAGTAAGAATGGCTATCATTAAGAAATCAACCAATAACAAATGCTGGTGAGGCTGTGGAGATATAGGAACTCTTCTCCACTGCTGGTGGGAATGCAGACTGGGGAAACCCCTGTGGTAATCAGTTTGGAAATTCCACAATAAACTAAGCCTAGAGGTCCCATTCAACCCAGCTATTCCCCTTCTGAGTATTTTCCCAGAAGATCTGAAAACATCATATCACAGTGATATATGTGCACTCATGTTGATAGCAACACAATTTGTAATTGCTATATTGTGGAACCAACCTAAATGTCCATCCATGGAGGAGTGGATAGAAAAAAATGTGGTACTTTTGTATAATGGAATGTTACTCAGCTATAAAGAAAGATAAACTCGAGGCTTTTACAGATAAATGATCACAACTAGAGACCATACTCATAAGTGAAATAAACCAAACCTCCATGTATAAGCAATGGATTGTCTCACTAGTTTAAGAACCTGAAAGAGTGAATAAAAATTAGGAGGTATGATAGACATTATGAAAGGAAAGGAAAATGCTGAAAAGTAAAGAGCAACTGGGATGAAGGAAAAGAGAAAAGAAAGAAGGGGAAATTATGTATGTATGTATGTATGTATGTATGTATATACAGGATAGCTAACATAGTTGTACTACTGACTTCTATCACTTTACTGAAAGTAACAGTTAATGATTACTTATTTGATCAATCTTGCATGTCTCTGTTCTCCTGAGAAACCACCTTGAAGAACAATACGTAATACAACAACTCTTGTTAATTTCCTACCACTTTGTCTGTAACTCTGTATTGCTTGTACTGTTCTTATATATTTTCTAAATTGATGTGTGTTTGTTAACATGTTGTCCTTATTTCATTTTTAAAATAAAATTTTAAAAATATATATACAGGATAGTTAACATAGTTGTACTGCTGACTTATATCACTTTATTGAAAGGAACAGTTAATGATTAATTATTTGATCAATCTATCATGTCTATATTTGTTTTCCTGAGTAACCACTTTGAAGTTATCAATATGTAATCCAGCAATCAATGTTAATTTCCTGTCACCTTGTCTGTAATTCTGTATTACTTGTATTGTTCTTGTGCTATTTTGTAAATAAATGTCTGTTTATGAATATGTTTTTGTTCTTTTATTTTTAAAAATTGCGTTAATTTCTGCCCTGAGTTTTATAATTTCCTGTCTTCTTTGGGCTTTGGGTTTGACTTGCTCTTCTTTTTCTAGGAGTTTGAGGTGCAGCATAAGATTATTTATTTGTGCTTGTTCTGTTTTCTTGAGGTGGGAATTCATCACTATAAATTTCCCTCTGAGGACTGCTTTCCTTGCATCCCACAGGATTACAAACAAATTTTCGTTTGTAAATAGTGTTTCACTTCCACTTTGATTTCACCTGTGACCCATTGGTTGTGCAGGAGGATGTTATTTATTTTTCAACAATTTATGAAGTTTTTGTGCTTTCTTTTGTCATTAATTTCCAATTTCATTGCACTATGGTCTGATAGTATACAGGGGAGAATTTCAATTCCTTTGCATTAATTTAAACATGTTCTATGTGCTAGCATATGGTCTATTTTAGAGGACACCCCATGTGCAGCTGAGAATAATGTGTATTCTGATGCTGTTGGATGGAACACTCTGTAAAGGTCTACTAAGTCCATACGTTCAGAAGTTTAGTTAAGTGCTGTTATTTATTTGCTGATTTTTTTGTCTAGTTGATCTATCTCATTGTGACAAAGGTGTGTTAAAATCCCCTGTTATGATTGTGTTGCTGCTTATTTCATTTTTCTTGTGTGTTAAAATTTGTCTTATATAGTTGGGTGCTCCTGTATTTGGTGCATAGATGTTTGTGATTGTTATCTCTTCCCCTTCAAGTTTCTCCCTCACAAGTATGTAGTGATCTTTATCTCTTTTGATTGTTCTTGAAGTTCCTGTTGTCTGCAAACAGAATAGCTACACCCTCTTTTTTCTGGGTTTCTGTCACATGGAGTATTGTTTTAATTTTTAGTCTATGAATTTCCTTTTGAGTTAAATGTGTTTCTTGTATACAGCATATAGTTGGGTTTTGTTTCCTAATTCACTCTGCTAGTCTGCTTCTTTTGGTTGGTGCATTGAGACCATTTACACTGATGGTTATAACTGATATGTACTGGCTTATCTTTGTCATGCTATTTTCCTGCTGTTCAATCCTCCTTTTGCCCTCTGTTTAATTGCTTGCTCTGCTTGGTGGTTCCTTTGTGTTGTTGTTCTTGAAGTTGTGGTCTGTTTTATCTCCTTCTAGAATATCTTTTAGTACTCTTTGTAGGATTGGTTTGGCACTCATGAATTTCTTCAGTTGTTCTTTATCATGAAAATATTTTTTTCTCCATTACATTTGAAGGATAATTTCACAGGGTACACCAATCTGGGTTGGAAGTTGTTTTCTTTCAGTACCTGAAATACTTCACTCCAAGCTCTTCCTGCCTTGATGGTTTGTGTTGAGAAGTCTGCCATGATTCTGATAGGCTTTCCTTTATAGGTGAGCTGTTTCTTTTCTCTAACAGCTTTTAACATTCTGATCTTTTGCTGAGTTTCTTGGATCTTGATCACTCTGTGTCTGGGTGTAGATTTATTTTGGTTATGATTAACTGGAGTTCTATGTACTTCACTTATCTGTATGTCTGATTCTTTTTCCATGCCTGGGAAATTTTCTGCTATTATTTCTGCAAATAGTCTTTTTATATCATTTGTATACACCTTTTTCACTGATACCTGTTAACCTGACACTGTTTTACTTTGCATGGTCTTGCAGTTGTTGAATTGTTATTTCCTGGTTCCTTGTTGTTTTTAAGAGATCCCTCCTTTCACATTCATTAGTGGCAATGCTCTCTTCAAGTTTTGAAAATCTGTCTTCAGCTTTGTTCAGTTGGTTTTGCCAGCTTTCAGTGGAATTTTTAATTATCTGGATATCTGTTTGAATCTGTTTTGTACCTTCCAATTCTTTTCTATATTGTTCACTCAAGGTTTCCATGAGTTGTCTATGCTGTTCTATTTTCCTATCAATTCATCTTTGGATATGCTGAACAATTCTTTCATTATTGTTGTTATTTCTTTTTTTACCTGAGACATTATTTCTGATCTGATGTCTTCTATGGCCTGATGGAGTTGTTTCTTTACTTCAGTTGCTATCATTTCAGAAATTTCAGGTGTATGACTTCCAGGTTCTTCTGTGTTGAGGTCTCCTGGACTTGTTTTGGGTGGTGTGGAGGTCTGGGATTGCATTTTGCTCCTTCATTTTGTTATTTTTCAAGATCCAGAGGATTCCTAGAGTGCAGCCTCCCTATTTCAATTGTGTGTGAGTGGCAGGGCTAGTGTCTGAAGATCCCCAGTGCTCAGGGCAGCTCCTGTGTTGGTGAGTGGTGTCAAGGTGGGGTCCCAGATGCTCCTGAAACTTTCTTGCATTTAGTTGGCTCAATGGCGTCTGTTGGAGAGGCAGGGGAGGCTCACTGGAGTTCCTTAAGCTGTCTGGGGTTCGGCCCTGCTTCCTCAAGAGTAGGGGAAATGCGGGTTATGGTTACCGAGGCTTCGATATTGCCTAGGACAGAGCCTGCTTCCCTCACTGGCAGGGGAACAGTGAGAGCGGACACCCCAAGGCCGCTGACTCTGTCCAGGTTTCAGCTGGGCTCCCAGGAGGGTGCGGGTTGTTCTGGGAGTGACCACTGAGGCCGCAGAAGTTGTCCAGGTCTCCACGTGCCTCACACACTAGTGGGGGAGGCCTGGGAGCAGCTCACTAAAGATGTCCAGGGTTCAGCCCAGCACCTGAAGACATGATACAGGTGCAGTAAGTGGCCACCGAGGCCCCAGAGAGAGCCCGGGGCTCTGCCTGCCTCGCACGCTGGTCAGGGAGGCCAGTGCAATGTAACTTTAAGGGTGATGACTTTAAGGGTATAGCTTTAAGGTTGATTTCCATCACTATGGTGATGTTCTCCAGATGTATACATAAAGACATCAAATTGTAATATACTGTATGTTGATTATACCTCAACAAACATATACAAATTATGCTATTTAAAAATTTGGATTGCCAACTGGCACCATGTGGGCAAAGCTGATGATAGGATACCAACATAGTGGCTCCAGCGTCTTAAAATACCTTGGGAAAATAACATCTTTGTCAACTGCAAGAAATGTGCAAGCAACAAAGCTCATTTCCCTATAGTCACCAGCCACTCTCACTGCTCACCAAGCTATATCCTTGCACCATGTAATGTTTTAGACCTATAATGTGCCCCCCTCAAAGGGCCCTGGGAATCCTGAGAATTTCTATACACCAGATCACACAGCTAGTGACTGGAATATTTGGCGATGTTTTTACAATGGGCACTTTCCGCTATAGTTAACTGCAGCCTCCCTTAATTGCAATTATTTATACCTTTAAAAAATTGTATTTTTGTTTAGTGATATTTCAAGTATTTCTATCACTGACCTGAACATCACACTTTGGCTTTGGAGAAAGAGGTCCTGAAAAAAGCTTCCTCCCAAAATTGCTGGTGTATATGGTACATATGCTGTAAAGATGCTAAATGCACATGGCTCACTTTTGCCAAATTCTGTGGTCTGTCACAATGGTAGTACACTCTCTCAAGGTGATGTATGGGCCCTCAAACTGTGAAGTCAGACTCATAAAGATCAAAATTTTGACCTAAGATGTTTCTGTCAACAATGGAATTTAACATCAAAAGTGGACTGAGACCATTTCACCAACCCTTTTGAGATACACAAAGTTCCAAAAAGGCCATTCAACTTTTCTGTTTGGAAGTCCAATTCTGTATTCATTCCATTCCAGATTGTTGGAGAGAAATGCAAGATCAAAGGTGGTTTAAATTATAATGCCTTTATTCCAAACCAGAGCAACATAAGACAAATACTTTCCTGGCCAGGTGACTCGGAGGCAGGCAATATCCATTACAAATTTCAGGCATAGTGGCACATGTAAGAAATCCCACCTATTATGGATTTAAAGCCAAGGATCAAACAAGCCAACAAGTTCAAGCCCTGCCTAGGGAAAAAAGCAAGACTGTCTCAAACAATTCCCTGTAAGCTACCAGAACATAGCTCAAGCCCTCTAAGATACCATTCAGGAGACCTCAAGTGTCTCACAATTCACTACAGAATGGACAAAGTGTGCAAATTCCTGCCTTTCCTGGGATAGTTTAGTAAGCTGGAGAAGTTGAGAGGGGTTCAGCTATAGGTATTAACAGTGACTAATTCTGGAAAGGAACTTGAGCAGGTCAGAATGTGCAAAATAGTGTTTGAAGTGCCCCATATACTTGGTATTCATATTTTCAAGGTCAATTCTAACTGAAGAATCCTATTGTATTGAAAGCTCCCCTAATGTCTTCCCGCAGCATGAATTTTCTGGTGCCGAATGAGGTGAGAGCTTAAGCTGTAGGCTTTGCCACATTCACTGCACTCATATGGCCTTTCTCCAGTGTGAACCTTCTGGTGCCGAACAAGGTGGGAGGTTCTGATGAAGTCTTTCCCACATTTGCTGCACACAAAAGGCCTTTCACCGGTGTGAACCCTCTGGTGTGCAATAAAGTCAGAGCTTCGACTAAAGAATTTTCCACAATCGGTGCACTTAAAAGGCTTTGACTCTGTGTGAATTCTCTGATGCTTAATGAGGGTATATTTGTGGCCAAAGGATTTCCCACAATCACTGCAATCATAAGGATTTTCTCCAGTGTGTATACTCTCATGTTGAGCAAGTGTGGATTTGTGTCTGAAGACTTTCCCACAATCATTACATTTATAAGGCCTTGCTCCATTGTGAACTCTCTGGTGTACAATTAAATTGGAGTGATGGCTAAAGTATTTCCCACATTCACCACACTTATAAGGCATTTCTCCAGTGTGGATCCGTTTGTGTTGAGTAAGGTTGTCTTTTCGACTAAAGGTCTTTCCACATTCACTGCACTCATAAGGCTTTTCTCCAGTATGTATCCTCTGGTGTTGGACAAGTGTAGCTTTGCGGCTGAAGGCTTTCCCACATTCACTGCACTCATAAGGCTTCTCTCCACTATGGATTTTCTGGTGCTGGGCAAGTGTATCTTTGCGGCTAAAAGCTTTCCCACATTCACTGCACTTGTAATGCATTTGCCCAACATGAAAGGCCTCTCTACTCTCAGTGCTCCTGGCTGTCTTCTTCTTCCTATGGGTGACTTTTTTCTGCTTACCACCCAAACTTTTCTGTTCCACTTGACATGTAAAAGGCTTCTCTGACAAGTGAGGTTCTTCACAAACTATCCAGTTCTTTACCAATGAAGCTTTGCCTTCATCTCTTTGTGAAGGTCTCTCTACAATATAATGCTTTAGATTTGGGTGAAAGTTTGCACTAAACCAGAATTGTCTACCACAGGCTTCACATGTGTAAGTTTTAGGTCTGTGGTATGTTTCTTGGTGTTCATCCAAGTGCAAAATATCTTTCAAGATTGGGCTACATATGTCACAAGAGTGAGCCACCTGGGTAGACAAACCTGCCTTAGAAGTACTAAAAGGTAACACTGCTATAGAAACACTCTCTTCAGCAGGTGATTCTTCATCTTTCACTGCATACCAACAACCTAAAGAGATAAAAAGACTGTTAATACATTATAATTTTAGTGGGAGGGGGCAACATATGTGTCTAATATTCTCAGGATTCTATGTCCATGTGGTTGTTGGGAGGACAAGGCAACAATCATGATCAAAGTCTGATGTATAGTACTAGGATTAAAGGTAACAGATGTGGAAGGCTTTTTGAGGGACAAAAACATAAGGATGGGTGTAGTACATAGAAAAAAAAAGTAGGCAGAGTCTTCAACCTAATGCAAATAACTTTTAGCAGGGCCTAGGCTGGTTGTTGGTGACAGGTGAAGGCTATGCAAAAATGCATATCCAGGCCAAGAAATAGCTACTTGAAAATGACTGATGTTCAAGGACTATACACGTACATCTGGTAATACAGGGTTAGTCCAATACTGGAGTATCACAAAGGAAACAGTAGAAAAGGTTTCAAGTAAATGGCTGGACAGGGAAGCCCTGCATTGGAAATAGGTGGCCAGATTAGGGAAGAAAAGATAGAAATAAAGTAGAGCTTACAGCCTTGGCATCAAACAGTATTGAGCAAAAGGAATGGTCCTGGTACTATCTGAATACATTCCTTCACTCTCACTCACCAGGGCCTGTCCAAGCCCCTCCTGCTGTGGTTAGAGTCATGCCCTCTCAGTCAGGCACCCAGGGTTCTCCCTTACAATAATTCAGCAACCACAAAGGATCTGGAAGATACAAGTCATTGGAAAGATACAAAGATAGGATGGGTAAGTGAGAAAGCATTAGCCCAGAGTAACCAACCCATGTAAGACCCCCAAAAGAAGAAATATTGTAAAATCATGGATTGTAAGTAACTTGTTCTGTGAGTGTTCCACAAGATGAGCAAACACTGCCAATACATTTTAACTTGATGAACAAGTGACGTCTTGCAATGAGTATGTGATACCAAATGTCTCATGACCACAACTGAACCAATGGTTCTTCTCCTTTAACCCTTGATGTGGAATTGAGGGTGACCACATCACAACCGAAAAAGGTTATGGAAGGAGAAAAAAGACAGAGGAATTCCTCACTCCAAATGAGATTAGCAAGATATGTAAATGTGGGAAACAATGCACAATTTTATAGAAAAGCACCACCTGAATAAGGGTGACAAGTCAGTTCAACAAAAATGCAATGTAACATTTCCATGAAATCCTCAAAAGAAGGCAAAAGCAAGTGTCACTGGATAGGATCCTTATTAAAAGTGCACAAAAAGAAAAATATTCCATTAGTAATAATGCAAGTTGTCCTACACAATAACCCTCCTCTCTGTTGTCTCCTTCACAGCAGCTACAAATGTTTTCAAAAGCAAATACAGGATCATTTATTTTTCTTTATATTTTGTATTTTAATATTTTGTATTAGATTACAGTACAGTGGTATCCTGGTTCATAAACTCGATCCATCCCACAATTCTGGTCATAAACCAAGCTGGATGAGAACCAAATCAAATTCAATGATTAGATTAAATGCTGACATTAAGGGAAAATTTGATTTGATTCTCACCCTGTTCAGTTTGTGATCAGAATCAAGAAGAATTGAGTTCATAAACCAAGGCACACTGTATTGTTATCCTTTTTATGTGAATATTTTTGGGCTATGGAATAAATCACCCGAGTTTCCATTATTTCTTATGGGGAAATTGGCTTTGATATACAAGTGCTTTGGATTATAAGCATGAGTACAGGACAAATTATGCTCATAAACCAAGGTTTTAGTACACAATAAAATGAAGGCGATCTTAAAGGAACAGCCCAGGGGCCACAATGAACTTAAGAACTGAAATTCACGACAGGTGGACCAAGGAAATGTTAATTAGAGAAAGGTGGCAGAATCTTAAGCTGAAGGGGTCATTACTGTGGACAGCCATCTGAAGAGGGCAAGCAGGATGTCAACCTTTGAGTTAACCTTGAGATCCCCAGCTCCCAAGCCTTTCCTAGCAAGGTTTCTAGGAAGGAGTTAGGGAACACAGAGAGTGAGGAGACAACACATAACAGCTGAGCCTTGGCATCCAAAGTCCTATGTGAGGGAGTCAGCAAAAAATAGCAATGCCTATGTTCCAATTGCGAAAAGACTAACCGCTGGGAAAAAAAGGAACAGCTGAGCCCAGCCCAGAAATCTGGGGAAAGTGGGGCCTTAGTCAGGGAGACTACTAAATGTGAGGCACAAAAAGTACTGAATTATGATACTAGTCCCTGAGTCTCAACAAGCAGCTTCCACTTCCTCCAGAAAAAGTACACAAAGTCACTGTCAAAGATCTTGGGTCCCCAAAGTCATCAAAATGGCCTTGGGTGAAATGGTAAACTGTCCTTGGCTTCAACCCTTCTCTCACCTCAAGAGAGCACAAAAAATAACATATTTAATGACTCTTCCAGTAAATCTCTAGATCTGATGCCTCTCACCTGTGAGACCTCCAGCACAACTTCCTCCCCAGAACTCCAGATCTGAGTTTCCAGTTGCCTACGTGCTGCTTCCACTGAGAGACACCTTAATTTCTCAGCCTCTTGAAAGATAGTCCTTGCTCTCACTAACCCATTTTCATTCTTTTAGATGTCCAGGAAGAGAAAAAACAGACAGTTGAACAGCATCTCACTCCCTATGTTCACAAGCACATCTAAATCAGCAGAAAGCCTCGTTGGTTCCACCTTCAAAATTCTATGCGGAATCTACTAATTTCTCCACCTCCAAATTCTCCATCTACTGCTGTGGTTGAGTCACCACAGCCCTCTGGTCAGGTTCAGTGAGCCTCCTCCTATGTCTCCCTGCCTCCATCCCCACCGTCGCACCTCACCGGTCCGTTTTCCCGAGTGAACACGGGAACGCTTAAATCTTTTACGAGGGGTCACTCCTCCGCCCTGCAGAATCTCTATGGCTCCCAAAGCCCTAGCAATGAAGGTGCTCCACTCGCCCCCTGGGTGCAGGGACCCCCAACAAGCACCATGCTAGGCGCAGACTGGCACCGGAGATTCGCGGTCCTGAGCCCGGGCTCCTGTGGGTCCCCTTACTGTCACACCACCCCAGGGCCAGGACACAGGTGTCTGGAACACCGACCTCCCGCCCGGGAGCCTGTCTCGGAGCTAGACCTGGGCTGCGCTCACTCCTGCTCAGGGATTCAGGGCCAAAGACCGCGAAGGGTGAAGGTCCGAGAAGGCCGCACCCACCTGCACTAGGCCCATTCCAAGGCCTGGGGCGGGGCTAGACCTGCATGCAGAGGCGGAGACTCCTCCGAGCTGCCACCACCAGCCTCTTTTCAGCGGGGACACCGTCTCCACTCGCTCTTTCCTGCACCTGTCAAGTTTGGAGCGACCCAACTGTCTGGTCCGACACCCCGATGGTTCCGCCCCAGGGCCAACAAGATGTCCGCGAAGAGGAAGGTTCCGGAAGTCCCGCCCTCACACCGAACGGTGCAAGGCCTTCTGGGTAACGTAGTTCTCACGGGCAAGCGTCCTCAGCGACGCGCAGGCGCCCCTGCCTGCAGGCGAAGGCCATAATACTAATACTCAGTATTGTTCCAATATGCTCATGCCTGTAGTCACCTTTGGGAGCCAGACCAACGGACACACTTAACTGGCGAAGGCTGGGAGTCAAATTAGATCCCGCTCCTTTCAGATGTCTCACCTAATTCCCTTCCTGGGCCCAGATACCCTAACATTTCCAAGAAGCTGAACACGGGCTTTTTCCCTTTGGGCTGTACTGGGTCTGGACAGCTCCTTTGTAGGGAGTACAGAGGTGAGGAAGAAGTTTACTACTTCTTCGGGCAGCTGTCTGCAGATTTATAAAACAACAACTAAACATTATTTCAGCTTCCATAACGTTCATCATATTCCAAGACACCAAAAAGATTTCATCACCTGGTCCCAGATGATACAAATTTTTTTGTTTGTTTGTTTTCCGGTACCGGAAATTGAACTCACGACCTTGCAATTGCCAGGCAGGCACTGTGCCGCTGAGCTGAATCCCCAGCCCCTCAGATAATACAAATTTAAATGGAGTCATTCAGACATAAAATATGTATAGTCTGAAGTGGAAACTAATAAGCATCTTATTATTCTTCACGTGGCTGAAATGTTAAAGAGTTAGTTTGCAAGTTGCAGTGTTTTTCAGTCAGAAACAAGAGATGTTAGACATGCCCCTAATGGGAAGATCTGCGAGTCATTGGGCTGCCTCTTAGCAAGTGGACAAGAGTGGAGCTCTGCCTGTGTCACTAGCTAGCTCCGTCACAGGAACTAGTTCTAAAGTGCAGATAAAATTTCACTTTTAGTGCATCTCAAAGGACTCACTAATCATCTATTTTTTTTTTTCAGAAGTTGCAGGAATCTCTGGACAGGCTGAAGTTTAGTTATTGCACAGGAACCAAAATGTACTTAGAAATGTGTTATATCTCACCACACCTATATGTGGAGATTATAGTATGGATATGCACTATAATGAGTGTATAATGAAGTTTAGGATCACCTTTTGGTCAGATGTGTTTCTATCTTTACTTGTACTGGTCTCACCTACTTTGTCTGTGCATTCCACTTTTGTATTTTAAGGAATACAGGGGCTTGCCTGCAGAAATGGCAGACTGATTAACTTTACCACTCTTATGGCCAAAATTTGCACTGCTCACTTGTTTGTTCTCACACTGCTACTTTGAAGAATTGCTTGATGATTCCTTGTCTTACCTCTAGTTCCAGAAAGACACAATGATTGTGTCCTACACAGAGACAGCAAACAAATAAAAAATAAACAATATTTTTCTGTTTAATACATCTTTCTTCATATCTTAAGATATATTCAGCTTCCTTCAGCAATATGACATCTCACGTGGAAAGCAGCTTAATACTTGCTATTTCCCTAGGGGATGGTGGATGTAATATTAGTAGTCAGAGCATGTGTGCAAAGGGAACATCAGGATCTCAAGATTAAGAGCACATCTAGACTCCAAGATATAGTAGGCATCCAACAAAATATGTGACCCAACAGCCTGTCTGGAAAGTAAAGGTAATTTCTACTGTTATGGAAGGGACAGTGCCTTTAAGGAATTCCATAGCTCAGGGGGAAAAGTATAATGTTTAAATTTATTAATAATGCTTAACTAGTTATTTAAATGAGGTGACAAAAATGTAGCTCGGGAAACATAACTGAAGGTTAAAAAATTTAAGACTAGAGATACATGAGAAGATACTGAAGTCTGAGATGAACTAGAATTCAGCTGAGTATGTGACTTTGCTGAAACCATGGTAATTCTGAAGTTATCATTTAAAAAGTAAGATTCTTTTTATTGATTTACATATTAAATAATATCAAATTGGAGGGAGAGTGAAAGTGATCATTTAGAGTTGCCAGAGAGTAAACATTTGGTCAGACTTTCTCTCCCTGAACAGAGAGTCTGAAATTGTATATGTATTCATTAAGCATATAAATTATATAGAATTGTAGTTCTTAAGATAACAGGTATGGCAAATATTTAGTAACAATGTGAAAATCAGGATCTGAAAACTAATTTAACAAAATGAGAATATGTATAAATATACAATTTATACAACATGAAATTCACAAAAGAATTTTGAAAAAAAACAGGTTACTGACATATGCCTGTAATCCCAGCTATTTGGGAAATAGAGGCAGAATAATTACAAGTTTGAGGCCAACCTGGGCAGCATAGAGAGAGCCTGTCTTAATTATAATTATAATGATTTGGGGTTGTAGCACAGTGACAGAACACTTGCATGCCATGCACATAGCTCTGGATTCTAACCCCAGTACCATAAAAATATTTAAAAATTGTAACTTGAGCCCACAGAAGTTCTAGGCATCCTTGTGAATAGTGGTACAGTATGCCTTTTAAAAACTATATTTATTCACAGACAAATAAAGTTCCAGTCCATTTCATTGATCCCAATGTTTAGAGATACAATTATGAACTGTAGGTACATCTGACTTTCAGGTACAGTAAGAAGAAAATCTCCATCCTATAACTCTAATGGATGTGAAATAGCAAACAAATGAAGATGTCAAATGTCCAAAAGCTAAGTAAGTGGTAACTTTGAAATTGCAGTGAATCCAGAGCAGGAACTAAGGTTCAGAATACCTCAGAGCACTCTTACATCTGTTTACATTTCAAGGTCACATTTAGACTTCCACCCATATATAATTTCTAGTGATTCCTGCTCTATAAATTTTAAAACTATTTATCACTTTAATTTAATAAGACTTCTACTTGTCTACATGAGAAATAAAATTTATCATGATCAGTGGGTAGGACCTTTTCCACATTCTACAAAGAGAATGCATTACACCAATTTCAAATTATGTCCTCATTTTATTGTAGTCATCCAATAACCATTTACATAAGTTTTGGGAAAAACAGTTATTGTTTTCTGTGCATTTATCATTAAGGTTGGCTTTTCCATGACTTCTCTGATCCTCTCTGCCTCTTATTTATGTTGTGCTGAGAGTTCCTTGTATATTACAGAAATGACCTCTTCATCCTTCTGCCATAATACCTCATGGTCTGGTTAACTTTGTAGTTGTTTTATTTTCCCATTTATATTTTGTATTATTTATTACTTAAGCATTCAACACTTTTCTGTTTCTGGGACAAAATGAATGACATAAGCAACTTAGAAGAAGTTTTAGAGGCTTCATTTCATGGTTGTGCTCTCCAAGTCAGAAAAAAGCTGTTCGCCTAATGGCAGACAGAAAGCAGGGAGAAAACAAGAGAACTAGAGAAAGAGGAATTTATATGCTTAATGAATACATGTACAATTTCAGGAATACACCTTTCCACATCATACCCACAGTGACCCAGCTCCTCCAACAGGGCTGTTCCTCCTAACATCACACTCAGCTATGATTCTGTTAATGGATTTATTCACAGAAAAGCTTACCATGCCCGTGATCCAATCCCTTTCCAAAATCACCACCTCTAAATGCAGGAGCATTTGGAGAAATAATTTTGACCTAAAACAGCAAATACTGTACATTTTTTCACACGGTTGATTTTTAGGTAGTCAAAAGAGACACAAGAGTTAAAAGCAACGTATAACCTTAGATTGGGTCCTGGACTGTTTTATTATCTCTTGCCTTAAGAGACACTAGTGAATCACCAGACATTGTGGCATATGCCTGTAATCTCAGTACTGTGCAAGGCTGAAGACTGAAAGTTGGAACCTCATCTAGCCAACTTAGTGAGACCCTGACTCAAAATAAAAAATAAAAATAAATTGTCTGGGGATTTAGCTCCCTGCAAAGATCCGCAGTTTGATCCCCAATACCACACAAAAGGGGGAAAAGAAAAGAAAGAAGCAAAAGGGGAAGGAATGTGGACAGCTGCAGGCTCTTCTTTGAAAATAACCAAAGTTAAGAAAGTCAAGTGGTTTAGAAGCCTATGTAGATTAGGTAGGGAGACACAAACCATGTGAGTACTTGAAATGTCAAGGTCAGAGGCAAACCAGTTAATCTAGTATTTCTCAAGTTCCATAGAATACTGTTTGATTAAAATATATTTGTTCCACCTGGGGTTTTAGTACGCTCCATGATATTTGTGTTGGATATGCCCCTATCACCACATCTTTAAGGATGGTGAAATATTTTTGCTTTATCAGTACTCTGCAGCCATTTGACTTTTGTTTTATCAAGAGCAAACATGTGACAAGGAATGGGTGAGGTGTGCAGGCTAGAAGGATATGAAGTAGCTTCTCTCTGAGGGAAATTGACAAGGGGGGACATACAGGTGTGGCACAGCAGTCAGGTGTAACCACTGTCCACACACGACTGCAAGCAAAAGACAAGTTCACACTCAGCCCAATGTCACCCCTTCTCACCTCTTACTCGCAAGAGACATGCACCCACAGTGAGAATTCCTGATCTCAACAAAATGAGTGCTGGGAAGTCATGAAAGAAGACACCTCAAGCCTCCTTGTCTGAGGCTTTTGTCTCCTTTTCTAAAAACTTTCTATAAATTTCCACAAGAAATGTCTTTCTATTCTATACATAGCATATTTCTATGCACAGATATCTGCCCAAAATTTCATCTTTAACTTTATTTAAATCTTCAACAGTTGAGGCAAGATACTCTGAGTACACTTTCCCAGCCACAGTATCTATGAGCTGATGGCAACTCCTCCCTCAGGTTTCAAAGAAAAAGACTTTGTCTTTATGCAGCTTTCTTGAATTTGTCACATTGTTGCTAGTAAAAAGTTCCTACACCTATACCTTACACTTAAAATTCACTATGGGTTGTGCATTCCCATTGCAATGTTGTACTATGCACAAATGAGCATTAACTGTGGGAGAATCCATTTCTGAATGTTACTCATGTGTATACCTCAAACTCTCTGCTGTGAGCAGAATTAAGGTTGGTTGACTCCCAAGACTTTCACCCAGCTCAAATAAGGCAGCT